ACATAATACATCATACATGTAGAATGAGTCGACGAATTCCGTGGTACACAATTATACTTCTTTGTGTAGTAGTGAACCCCTACAGAGTTATATAACTCGTGCATTTACACAATAAGTTGATGTAAACTATACATACGAGGTAGATATTTTGGACCCAGTTCGTGCAATTTCTATGCTCCATTTTTTGGTTTACAATATTCAAGAACTGAATACATCTTAGTCTTTTCCGGCAATAGAACCTTAAAAAAAAAACTCATTTAGAATTTCAGGATCCAACTTATTTCAATAGCTGGTATAAGCCTATACAGGTGCAACTATAGAAGGGGGGTATGCTTCGTTATCGAAAAGGTGACCGCGAAACAAGCTATAGTCAAAATATGAACTCGAATCTTTTGGGGTAATTTGGAAGCCGGATTTACATGGATTTATTTCCTTTGACCAATTGTACAAGTATGTTTGCCTGAAGGAATCATGGTACAAAAATCCTGTAACCGGTTTATTGTCATAGTTTTTGTGTGTAAATAACTCCTTGAAATAAACGAACTGTTGAGAGAAGATTAGGACATAAAAGAAGTAAATCGCATCAAATTGCATAAATAGACAATAAGAAAAAATAACGATTCCAAGTGCGATTTGGAATATAAACAAGGTAAGGAAGAAAAATTGACCTCAAAATATTAAAATTGACAAACTGAAAAGAAAAAATTAGATAGACATTGATGGAAAAACATAAAAAGAGCACGCACAAAAGTATCTCAATAAGGCCTAAAAAAAAGAAGATGTTTTATTGTTCTGTGCGACCGACCCAAAAATTTTGAAATCTACGGTCTGCTTTTTGTTTATAATTTCTTTTTTAACCGTTTTTTAAAGAAAAAAAGATTAGAGCATTCAAAACTGAGAAATATTAGCCCAAAGAGGGAGACAAAAAAAAGTTTGAAAAAAAGAAAGATTTCCAACCGACCGACCCATGTTTTGGCACCTAAAGGGCAATACAACATCTTTTTTGTTTATAGGCCTAATAGAGTGTGAGGGTGTCATTTATTTTCTCTACACTCTTAGAAAAAAGGGTGCAAAATAAGAGTTTGCACCCTTTACATAAAAATGAACCCTATTGAAGGAAAAACGGTTTAAAAAAGGGTACAATATAAGATTTTGCACCCTTCCCACAAAAATGAACCCTATCGACCAAAAAGGGTGCAAAATAAAAGTTTGCATATTGCATGCATATTCATGATTACTTTCCACGTGTTCACATAAAAATACATTTATCATGATTTGTTAAGCAAATAATTATGACAATGCACATCAATGTTGTGATTTGTATTTTCCTTTGGCAATCATTAACCAATAGATTATTTTGTCTGATCATGTTACAAGTACATTCACGTTTTAGTAATAAATATATTGATTATATGACTACTAACCAAGAAACATCATGCATGTTTAATATGTATTTGTGTACGAGCATATTTTACCAGTATTCCTCGATGATGGGTGCAGGATTACACCCATTAAAGGGTGTGGGATTGAACCCCTAAAGGTGCTGCTATTACATCGGTTTGCACCCCTAATGGAGCAGGATTGAACCTTTAATGGTACTAACATGTCTCCTAAAAGGTGCAATCTGGCACCCTCTTAAAGGGTGCAGGATTGAACCCATAACTGTGCTGCTAGTGCTGCATCGGTTTGCACCCCTATAGGTGCAGGAATGAACCATAAAGGGTACTATTTCCCCTAAAAGGTTCAATCTGGCACCCTTTTAAAGGGTGCAGGATTGCACCTTTAAAAAGGGTGCAGGATTTAACCCCTAAAGGTGCTGCTATTGTTGCATCGGTTTGCACCCTTAAAGGTGCACACTTGCACCATTTTTTCTTAGTGTGTAACGTAATTATAATTAGCAAAAATATTAGCAAAATAGAGCAACATAAACCCCTCTTATAAGTGTTGGGGGCCCCAAATTAAATTGTGTAAAAGAGGGTGTCATTTAAGACACACTTCTGCAAAGAATTCTCCTCCAAAATATGTGTTTGAAGACAAATATTGATAAAAGAATACGTAATTTGGGTTTTCTGTTGTACGCAGAAAGCCTAAATTTTGTATTCTTTCATCAATATTCGGCTTCGAACACATTCGTTTTGAAAATCCGTGCAGAAATGTGTTTTAAATGACATCCTCTTTCACATTATGATACAATTTACATGTAAGTGACATTTCGCCATCAACTTTGTTGGGATCCCAACTCTTAAGTAGATCATAAAAACCAAGCGTTAATTTTTTGGGATAAAAAGTATCTTGCCTTCATCTAGCTGGCATGAATGAAGCAATAATTAACTAGTAATTCCAGCAATTAAAATAATACGAGGACGGGCTCATTCCTTTTCTCGCTCTCTCTCTCTCTCTCTCCTCTCTACTAATCTCTTCCAATACTCGTCTATCGAAAGAATATGCCACTTAAAACTAGTTTCGAACTGATTCATCCTCGTTTCGATAGAACAAAGAGCGATAGCTAGACATATGTTATTAACACTTAATAAAACCATTTATCAATCTATAAAATACCAACTCACAGTGACAATGGCGGAATAAATTCCCATGTCAGGCTACATGCACATGACAGATGTTCATATTTCCCCTCTGAGGCTGTTATGATGATTGTGTATGAAACAAAATTGATAAATCAGTATTATCAGGAACATGACGCAGTGTAAAACTGTTCATAAATACAATCGCAAGGGGACATTCCAGTACAATCTTCGAGACCGACAGTGTTGGAGACCGACGGCTTGGGAGACCGACACGTTAGTCTCATGAAGCCTCAGTTTTAATTCAATTTTAAAAGACCCCCAATTGCCTGAGAAAGGGGGAGGGGGGGGGGGGCGTAGAGCTAAAAACTTCGATATTATATGGTAGCATCACGTACAGTGACCTGGTACATTTTCGCATACCACATTCTATTGAAGATTGCATGATATTGAAGTATTGAAACATGATTGATAACGTGTTCGTGCATAGAAAACGCCGGGAAAAAAGCATCGGACAGGTTTTTTTCTATTTAGCGATATGTTCAGATAAAACATGGAAACAAAACATATCCCACGTGTCATGACTTGCCAGAAGCAGGAAAATGTGATTTCCCTACCAGAAGCATGTTAACAAAGATACATGCATTCAGACATGTCCGTGACGACAGACAAACAATTAGATGAGGGCGCCATGGATAAAAAAATCAGTACACAAATTGATGAAAGGCCGTTTATGAAGGAAACCGAATCAATATAACTGTGGAAGATTTGATCATGGAAGTAGGTCCGTGATTTGATCTATATATAGAGATAGCCACATGGATATTGCTGTCACAATAAAAGCAGGATTTGAGAACGGTTTCTTTCCTGAACATGTAAACTTAGAATGACTACATTTTTTATGTCAATTAAATCACGTAATTATGATATTTAATGGAAGCACAAGATTTGTCACTCTGTAGAATAAACAATAATTATATATTCCAATTTCTCGATCGTGCACGCGCCTCTTTTAAATTTAAGACGTTCTGTAACCAGATTACTTTTTTGCTCTTCATGAGCCACCCATCCCCCACCTCAAAAAAGAAAAGAAGAATAAAGGAATGGACAAAGAAAGGAAAAAAAATCAAATAAAACACAACATTACAAAACGAAACGAATACAAAGAATAACAAACCTACAAGGTAATTAAATGTATACATGAAGAGAAAACTGAGAAACATGGATAGAACATCATTGCAGCTTTCTTTCGAATAGGCCGTATGAAGGTTATCCACACAAGCGCAAGCCATCATGGAAAAAAGGGATTTTCAGAGACCGAACAACTAGGTTGATGGCCAATAACTGTTCTTCTGTTTAGTAAATTAATTGATCATCCCAAGGGATCTAGGACAATTACCAGCAGGACAAATCCCCCCCCCCCGAGGACAATTACCCCCGAATAAATATTATTCCTTTGTTAAAACCAACTTATTTTCAGGGTGGACTTCCCCTTTAATGAACAGGGGGTAATTTTCGGGGGGGGGTGACCTCGGGGATGGGGGAGGGTTAATTTTCAGGGGGGAGGGGGTTATTGTCCTAGAGGGGGTAGTTTTCCGGGGGTGATTTTCATTGGGGGAGCAGGTGATTGTTCAGGGGGTAATTGTCCTGATACGCATCCCAAGGATTCATTCCCATATATATATATATATATATATATATATATATATATATATATAATTCAATACAGTGGCGTAACGTGCAATTTTATGGGGTGGGGCACTAGCTGATCTTTATCGGTTCTTACAACGAATTTGCGACGGACCTGACAGAGTCTAGCAAAGTCTTGCAGGGAAGGGAATGGGGGTTGTGGGGGGGGGGGGGCGTTGCCATGATGAGAGATGTCGATGTTTCCTTCTCACATCACCCTCTCTCTCTCTTCCCCATAGGGAGGTGGGAAGGGGGGGGGGTAATTAAGAGGCATGCTCATTATCAGCGGCATATTCTCTTAAATTAGAAACTAATCACTTTCCTTTCCCTTGAACTCTTCCTTCCTTCCGTCATTTATCACTGTTCAATGTGAGAGTTATCTCTACATTTATTTCAGGTCAGACAAGTAAACTCTTATTCCATGTATATGTTGCCTTTATCACGCCATCAATCCAAGAATAGGACACATGGCGCCCCGATTGGCGCCCCGATTGGCGTCCATCCATTTCTCATGTTTTTATAGCGATATGCCGCTTGGCCAAGAGATATCAACATGAAACATTATGCATGTCTATATTATTTAATATGTTCCATGTTTGTATTAATTGCATAATAAAGGAACCCCGTGGAAGGGTTTAATGTATAATTAAAAGTAGGATAAGTAGGTGATCAGTATCAAAATGCGTGTACAGTCTTAGTTTCTAATTGGGTAATCATTATGCATATTTAAGCCATTTAGGCTAGGTAACTCTTTAACAGCGTAGGCGACATCGACCAAAGGTGCGTTAAACCATGTTTACACAATTGGCACACAACTAAACAAGCAGAAGGAACAAAGGTCAAATCGACAACGTAATATTGGGATAGTACAAATCTACAGAAAATGTTGTGACCACGCCTACCTAACCCATCAAACTTGCCAAGTTTTAAGTCTAACTTCAAAGTGACCATATCATTCATGTCCAACATGGCGTTACCGGTCAGAAACTCTCGTCTCGTTCTTGTGCTTACCACTATCTTACTGCAGTTCATAAGCTCAAACGTTCACGCCTATCCAGACGGGGCGCCAAAGGAGGCCTGCGCCGATGCTGCCCCGCAACACCACACGACGGATGGGGAAATCATCGAGCCGCACGAAGGACCTAGCCCCTATTCATTCACTGTAGATTCAAAGGAATATAAAATCGGTCACAAAATTACAGGTGAGTCCGGAAGATAATTCACCCCCTGTTCTTCATAAATTATCTAATAAGTCGATTGGTAGCCTATAGTATAGGTCACATTCGAAAAGCTTTCCCGTGTTGGTAGGCTTATTTAACATGAATTTTAAATTAATTTGGGAAAGAGAAACATATATTAAAAGATAAAGATTATTGAAAAGTATAAGATAAAGCAAGCACCCATCGTTTAACTTTAAAACTTCAAAAGCAACATCCACCAAAATATGCATGTAGTACTAGTATAGGTATAAAATATATTTCGATTAGCTATGATGTACATGCAGACACGCAGACACAAAATCAATGCTTATAATATATTTCAAAATGTACATTCATATTAGTACATATATGTATTTATAAAGTATAGGTCTGTATATACATGTACATACCTTTCTTTAAATGTACTTTTTTTTAAGGGGGTATTTGAGAAAAAAATCTAAGGGCGGAGTTCACACCAGAAGACCTTATTAACTTTACAGGATCAATGATAACATTTAATTTCCTTACATGAACTTTTACTGTTCGGTACTCGAGATTGCCTCCCATTGAAATGCTCCTTCCTACAAAATAAGTCATAATTTACATAAAATCTATCGACTCTTCGAGATTGCCCGGCGTTTAATCACTTCTTCATATAATACGAGCACACCTTCATTATCAATGACACTGGCGTAATGATGGGGAGGGGGGGGGGGGGGGCAAATAAAATAATTCAAACGGGGCTTATTTCTAATTCGATACCTGTGATTTACAAATTTTGCTGAAATGACATGATTTTACGTTTTGTCTTCTGCCGCCCCCTCCCCCCCCCCCCCCCCAAAAAAAGTTTTTTTTCTCATTACGCCACTGATTAATGGCATATGTTTTCTATGTTTGTTATCCAGAGTCCATGCAGACTATGGTGACTTGACGAATGAAGATAGTCTTATAGTATATTTTTGTCATTTGTCATTTATGTAGATAATTTGTAACGAGCTATTATGACGATCGTCAATTTTGTCAAAATTAATAAGAACAGAAAGGTTTTGAATGGAGGTAGTTGTTAGAATACGAAAAAAGCTCTTTTTATATTACGCTGCTGCCTGCCGCGGTCCTCGCTATGGTTTATAGACGGGGCTATAGACGGCCTTTGTTGAGTTTGAATGAGATGCCCACTCAGTCTAGAAGATGTTTGACATTATACGCACTTACAATCAAATAATCTGTCATTACATAACCGTTGCATTGTACAGAGTCAATAGCGGGTCGCTTTATCTGAAAATCAGACTAGCGGCAGTATTTGTGTCGTAATATCGCGAAGTCATACCAAGGAGTTTTAAGAGATGGAGTCATGTCTAGCTCACTCCCTTTGTACTATGTCCGATGCCGCCAGGAGAAAATATGTCAGGCATGTGCTTAATTGGATCTTTATGCAGATACGTAGACAAAAGATATCTGCCTAGCTGCAAAGTAACGGGCCACTTTTAAAGGGAAATATGCTTTTGTAATAATAATTACTCTTCGCTACCATAATACGAGCAGTACACAGTGCCTACCTTTACAGGAGACAAACGAAAGGAAATGGAGCAAAATTTCCTGAAATATTAATCAAAATTACTCGACTGGGCATGGGTGGGCACTAATCTGACTAATCTAACATCTTAAAGAACTGTATTTGAACAATTTTCGTGATCCGGAAGTAATCGGAAAAGTGTCAAATTGCAGGTTTAAGATAATTTGTAAAATATTACTATTTTTCACCAATTAAAACTGCTATTATATAATGTAAGCCACTTTCTTAACGCAATTAGGCTTTTGTATGTTGGTGCAATGATGTTGGTGGCTTCGTACCTCGGACATCAAAGGTAACAGCACACCTGTATAGATTCTATTATGCAACCTTAGAAAACTGCAGCTGCTTGAAATTATTTGTTGCCAGTTGGGACTTCAGATCTAAAAAAACTCCTTGGTCATACCAATAGGTACACGTAATATGCCTACCGGGGGGTTGGGGAGGGGGGGGGGGGGGAGTATCCGTTATGGAATAGTGAACTCTCGAAAATATATCTTCAAGTTTGAAGAAGAAAAAAAAAATCGTATGAGGGACACTTACACGTTTTTCTTTTCATACTCGATGCGTTCTTATAGAATGCCAGATTGGATATGGCAGGGATGGGCACATAGCCCCTCTGCCCCCTGGATCTGTCATCGGGTGTCGGGGCTGTTTGTCCGGAACGAAGTTGTCCTATATAGAGTGTATTGTCCTGAAGGAAGTCGAGGAATAAGCTTAAGAATCTATGATCGACCCTTCGGACAATTTTAATGAACATGGTGCAGTCTCCGTTTTAGAACCCAAATCGATCATTCAACCCTACATCTCGTTAGCAACCTCACTTTTGTTATGATATAATTTGCCTATTTTCTTTCGATGTTTTGTTTCTTAAGCTCTATTGTGTTTTTTTTATTTTTTATAGCGTTATTACTTTTCGTCGAGTATAATGCGATGTGTCCAGTTTCTATCCATCATATTTCTATTTTTGTTTTGTCTTCATTTAATTTAATCGATAGTCCTAATATGTCAGGACTATATTTCAATAAATGTGTAGAATTTGAAATCCATTACTTATTATATTATAGGTCTATGATTATGAACATTGTCTAGTTGTACCCCTTGGTTCACTGTGCTTGAAGATCCTATTAGGTCTTTACCGAAATTAACTTCTTCTCTTTTCTCAATTCTTCTTGCTTTTAACAGTTACTATCGAAGGGAGTCAAGCATATGGCGGGTTCCTGATCCAGGCCCGATCCGTTGGAGGCCAGGAGCCCGTTGGGCACTTCTCGTCCCTACCGGATAACGCTCAGCTTCGTGGATGCATGACAGAGGATGATGGTGTCACCCACACAAGCCCAGACGACAAACTACCGGGCATCATGTTTATGTGGCACACCAAGAAGGATGTAGGCACAATCGAGTTCTTGTAAGTGTTGCCATCTTATGGCCATCAAGTTTTTTTTGTTTGTTTTTGTTTTTGTTTTGTTTTGTTTTTTGTTTTTTGTTTTTGTTTTTTTTTGGGGGGGGGGGGGTTGTCATAAGGCTTAAGAAACACGAAAAATCTGAACTGCTGCAGATCATATTTTTCAAAAGTACTTCCGAGATCCGAGAATCATTGTTCAAAATGATGGATGAGAAAGTTTGTTTATATAGCCGACATGTCTCTTGCTCTTCGTATACAAGTCATGTATTATATGCGCATTGTTCGATCTACTTGGTTTGAGATTTCTCAATAGTTTCCTTGTCTAAAAGTTTATCCGATGCTTCTTATTTCCATTTCATAATCCTTATTCAGTCACATTCCTCTTCTCTGAAAATTAACGTCGCCTTCAACTTCCTCGATGGAAGATTATCATCCTACCTTTGAAGTTTCTCATCCTATTGTTTGTCCCCTTTTTGTATCTCTCTTCTCAATTTCTAACTTTTTTCTTTCTTGAGAATGTTCTATATTTCAGTGGTTTTTTATATTCTATTTTAACATTCATCAGTTGTATTGCTTTCTATCCTTCACTTGGGAGTTATAATGTGTGATTCCTAATTATTTTCTCGGATTTTAAGAACTTTTTGTATTATGTCTTACGATATCATTCCTAACAGCGGTACTGTGGCGCAAGATCATGATGTCTTCTGGACTGAAATCAAGTCAAGCGAGATTCAACATAAAACAGGTGAGAAATATATTCCCTCCAAAGATCTAAATGAATCAACTTTGGGTACCTAGCGATGCTTGGGTAATAGTAAATGTTTGGTCCTCAGGAAAACTGTTTATACTGTTTAGGCTACACTTTGTAAACAAACACTGCAATTATTTATTATTAGTAGTATAGGATGTATTATTGTTACGCAAATCTTTTTTTTAATTTTTTGTTTAGTGTAAACGAAGAAACCAGCAGATCAGGCTAAGAGGGTCACTGTACAATGTAAGACTCAGGTTACCAGTAAAACAAGATTTTCAGTAATGATACGTGAAATATGAAAAATAGTCTCAAACCTCCTTGTTATTGTAATATTTATTATTATTAATTATTTAAGGCTAAAATTAAGTTGATATTATTGTTTTGTGTTTTGTTGTTACTGTTATTATTATTATTATCATCAACATCATCATCTCCATGCAGTCCGTATATGAAATAATTCCATTTTATTTACATCTTTTCAATTTGTTCGCTTATAGAGTCTAAAATTCGTCATCTCAAGTTTGACGCCACGGAAGATGAATTCCACCATCTGGAGGACAAGGCGACGTCGGCATGGAAAACTCTGCTAAGAAATAGAACCATGGCTTTAGAAGACCTCTATCGAAAACATCGGCAGCTACATAATTAGAATGACTAGGACGATTGTATTATATTATCACAGGCGAATATGCAAAAATATATATAAAAAGGGGGCAAAGAAAAAGGATAATGTTGTAGCGCAAACGTTATGCGTCATAAGTATTTAAAAATTATATTTACGTTGGCTATCCAACACTACTCGTACGTTTCACCATTTCCATTATCAAGCAAGTAGTGTAATATGTAGCATGAGAGAGAAAATGGCTTACGGGTATTGTGAAGAAGAAAAAGATCCATTTTAAATTCATGGTAAATTATGGAAAGCCTTTGCATGCCTTTGAATTAAAAGCAAAATCTACGCTTTTAATAAAAAGATGGTTTTCGATAGCTTCCATACGAACGATTACTCCTCTGCATTGTTGCTGATCCATAAGAGCTTCCCGAAATACGTATATGGAATAACTTCAGATTTAATTCAAAGACAGGATATACTAGTCCGTGGTTCCGGAAAACAAGAATAACGTTTTCCTCAATGGGAGCGTCTCGATCTTGGAAAATACGTGAAAAGGTTTTTTATTTGCTTTCGATTGGGATGAAAGGGGATGATTTTGCTTTTCTTGTTCCTTCCACCCCCGTCAAGAAGAATGATATATTTTAACATCACTGGACAGCATTCCAACAGGCCTAAAAGTGTAAAAGTGTCTATAATCAAAACTTTGAACATTTTATTGTATGTAATGATTGAAAGGACGCTATTTTATTTTGTATAACTACTTAAGTGTTTTTTTTTAAATTATATTGCAGAGATAACTTTATCGTACAATTCAACTCAAGGAAGAGATGCATCAATTTTTTTTTATTTTATCAATCGAAACGATCGTCATCTGTTTTATGACTGGTTATGATGAAGGCATGTTAACTTATTTGCAGTTTTTAATCTTGATTAAAGACTCATAAGATTTGTAATAAACTTATAATAGATACAAAAGCAAACGCTGTGATTTATTTGATATTTGTATTACTTTCCTTGTCACATGTATGTGTTGTTTTGTTTCACAAAGACCATTTTTTTTTGTGTTTCTCTCTGTGTGCCCCTCTCTGTATCGTTTAGGGTGTTTCTCTTTGTTGCTCCTCCATCTCTCCTTCCTTTTACGAATACCGATCCCATATCTCAAAAAAAAGTTTGTAGAATTAATCGCATGAACACAAGTCATGTACATTTTGATCTTGTGATCAGTTGTTATAGCACTGCTATATAGAATCTTTAGTAATGTTAGGTCTTTCTCAGATAGAGGTTTAGATATGGTACTTTGGTTTTACTTGACTGCTAAGAAGGCATGTATATGCTTGTCAGTAAGAAACCAGGAGCCAACGTCTTTAAGTCCTCCCCATGGGCCATGGAAATAAGGAATAAAGTCTTGTCAATGGACGCGAGCCAATCGACTTGGTTCGAATCTGGGACCTCTCAGTTAACCAGACCATGCTCCATCACTGAGCCATAGCGCCTTCTCAGAATGCTTATGTAACATTTCAAATGTTGCTAGCCTCTGGACAATGATATTATTATGTACCAGTGACAAGCGATTCAACATTTAAATGCCCGAAGTATAATTGGAAATATGGATAATTATGAAAGATAATATTATACGAGGTAAAGGCAAAGATTGGTGGTTGTAGGCTCCATAGTGAAATACAATTGTCTGTAAATTGTTCATAAGAAAGTGAATCATCCGGCACTAGTAATGATTAAATCAGTCATAGTGTCATGGTCGAGTGGTTTAAGGCGCTTAACTGGATATGCGAAGGTCGAGGGTTCGAATTCCGACACGGCACTAATATCCTTTGGCAAGATATTTACCTGCATTTGCTACTCTTCACCCAGGTGTTAAATGGGTACCCGTATAGGATGCGAAAGCATTATGGTTGGACGAGCAAGTGTGCGCTCGTAAAATGGCGACTGGCTGGAATGCTCCCCAGGGAGTGGAAAATTGCATACATTGTGTGCGGGTACGCCTGAATCCGATGACCGGGGTGATAATGTATCTGTAAAGCGCTTAGGCACATCGTTGGATCGATGTATTGAGCGCTATATAAACATGGAATATTATTATTATTATTATTCAGAGAGAATGTATCCCGATGCATGTCATGCAGAAGTTTAAATGGAAGAGCCATATAATTTCTACTAAGAATTAGGGGCGGATCTGAGATTACACAATACGAAAGATATCTAACTTTTTCTGAAATAAAATTGATAATTCAATTTGTCGGTGCCAATCTACGCCTAACAAAAATAAGTAAAAAGAGAAAGACAAAATATTAACAGAAATGTTTTTTCTCGATAAAATGAATACATTACTATTGATAAGGGACAGGTAGATCTATTTTTGTTAAAGAATATGAAAACAGCATGTAAAAAAGAGTGGTAGCAACATATAGGTCAGGGTGACAGAAGTGAAATGCCACAATGATGCCCGGATTCGTGTGCCCCGAACATGCTGCTCCCAGTACATAATAAATATCTTTAAAATCTTTACACGAAACATTTGTACATAAATGAGATTTACGTCACATAACTAAAATAACAAAAAATTAATTGAATGTCCGTCAAAACAGAAAGTCTTCTTTTTCCCCAACGGTTTAAGAATAACAATGGTCATGTGACAACGGAATTATACATAACAGGAAGTACAATGACATATTAACATTACATGTGATAACAAAACAGGAAGAAAAAAAAGTTACAAACCTATGCATTTCAGAAAAATAATACAGGAAATGGAAATTCATCTCAGATATATACCCTACTATAAATTTGTGAATAAACAGAATGCATATATATATATATATATAATATATATATTTATATTCATATGAGTTGTTGGACACGTGATCCGATGACGTCATCATCCAGTGAGTTTTTATTAAATTATAAATGTGCAAATGATGTCAAAATTATGTTGTCTTGTATGCAAATGAAATTTATAATAGTTTATATATGGTTATTATATATTACGGGGAAATGTTCCGCCCTGACATATCTAATTAGATTAGTGAGTAATGCAAAGTGAGTAACTTCGCACAATTTTTCCCCCGTAAATTGCGAATGTGAGAGCAGTTGATACATGAACAGTTCTAGCTATCCTCAGTATAAATCATTGGTTTCATTATACGAAGAGAGGCGTCAAACTACCGTCTTAACATAATGAATTAACGCAACTAATATTCAACCACTTCATCCTTCCTTCCTAATGTATTCTTTAAATTAACAAGCTACATAACAGTACAGAAAATAACTACTAAAATTGTACTGACATTATTAATTTCATAAACACAACGTCACAGGCGTTCGTCGATCCAACAGAGCAACAATACGAAGAGAGGACCAGAAACTACGCCCTCTCACGTACATTGCCTGGCGAAAATCATCCGACGACGATGGAAAACGCCATAAAAACCAACAACAACAAGAAGTTTTTTCATAAACGTATGACATTACAGCAATGTGCGATTAAAATTTGCGTGCACAAACACGACCAACAAAATGATGTTATCCAATAGATTTATTACGAAGAAAACACAAAGTAATCTAGTAGTTTCCTTGGAAGAAAATCCGCTGATGCCAATAAAGTTAGAATAATTTTTCTTACCTCTGTTCACGAAATGATCGTGGCAATATGGTTTTATTCTTGATTTATATAGTTCATGTCTTCTTAGCATTTTATTGATCAATATATATGATTTTTTAAGATTACTCAATAAAGTTATGAGAACATTATACACGGTTGCCCATAAAGTTGGAATAATGTTTTACTTATCTGTTTTTTATGAAGTGATTATTACCAAATGATTTATTCTTGATTTATAAAGTTCTCACAACTTTATATTGATCAATCAAAAGACTCACATATATGGATCAATACAGTAATGAGACCACATAAACTTTATCTATCAAGAAGAAACCATATCGACACAATGAATTCATAAAAGAGATAAGAAAAGCTTGTCTGTGTAGATTTGTGTCAGCCAAGAATAAACTATATTGTCACAATCATTTCATGAAAAGAGGTTAGACAAAATGATTCCAATTTCATGTGCAACCGTGTTTAGTGCGGTATTAATTATTAGTCAGGGAGTAGAGCTCATCTATCACCAGTGGCATATTACCTCTTATCTGAAATTGAATTAGATGTTAATATTTACGGAGCGTGATGTTTGTGTTATGCAGCCTCAATTATAGATATTATTGAAAGCATTTGTGAGTAAACAGTGAGAATGGTGTGCGTCAGTCTTTTGCAAATTAAATTTAAAAAGGTCGGACAAATCAATGGGGAAAAAAATGAATTTCATATTTTTATTATTTTGTTACAAATAAATCATTACATAATTGAACACGAATTGGGAAAGGGCAAAAATTACCAGATATCAATGTCAAAGAGGTATGTTTACTTTGTATTTCTTTTAACTGGTTATGCTTGGTCTAAGAAGACGTTTTGATGGACGAGTCATCATAGACCGAAAATATCAAAAATAATGTTATATATGTGATCGTGTTTTGGGAAAACTAGATTGAAGGTCATATCATTTTTTTCTTGCTACTAACTTCATAACTAGGCAATCTCAAATGAATTATGACCGACATCATTTCGTTTATATCAAGATATCCAAATGTAAGCTATAATGTACCACTCATTACTATGTTTACTATGTTACTATGCAATAAACTTATAATTATTATTTTCAAAAAGATATCCAACTAGCAGTACCTTACATGTAGACACTCAGATAAGAAGTAATGTAACCATCATGGGTAATATACGAGGCTGTGGTAGGATACGAAATTTCCTAGTAACAAGAAATGTATTTTGAAATACCGTTTGATTTCTTTTAAAAATATATATGACCGGGTATACTTATTTCTTTTAACTTCTAAAAAAACAGTGAAATAAATGATAAAATAGACTGGGAAGATAATTTGTCCATGAACCGATGAAGTGGCATAATCTTCTTACAACCTAAACAAATATTTTGCCCAAGTGCACCAGACACGCTTGAAACGAGATAGTTCACGCTGCTGCACTATTACTGGAAAGCAAGGTTAGTCGGCGAATGGCCCTAAACACAAATATAGAATTCTTACATTGTCATGACGCCCTTGTCTATGCAGATATTTGTATCATACCAAACAAACAAAGTCGGTTTAATCAATTATAACACTGGACTTTGAACTAGAAGTCTATGTAAGCTTCAAACACTGTGCAGCTAGTGAATGTTGACAAAATGTGCAAATAGTGAAATTTCTCTCTAAATACAGGGTGTCCCTTAAAAAAAATAAAAAAACCAAGGTTGTTGATAAATTTCTTAAGAATTTCTCATCATTTTTTATTAGTTTGTACATTGTTGGAAAGCTCATTTTCTCTTCTTTCGTAATGATATCAATACCAGAAGTCACGTTTAACCGATTTCAGACTGCCTGAAGTACAAGTGCATCAGGAACGCAATAATATTGTCCAAAATAAGCGAATGACGCCTATCAAAATTGGGTTCATGTTGCTTTTTAAGAAAAGAAGGGGTATGGAACTATTTATCAGTGGAAATATATATCATCTAAAAGTTTATAATCTCAAAATCATAATCACTTCGTAATGGCACCATAATCATGATGAAGAATTACTCTGGGAACGAGCGGACACACTTTTTAACGGGTCTGCCAAAATGACATATGTTCAACTGCATCGTTTTGTTTGTATTAAACAAAATTGTACGTGCTTAATCATTTGCAAATTATGCTACCTGCTCACTCATGCCTGATCCTTCCATTATGACTATTGTTTCATATGAAAGAAGAGGAAAGGAGTTTTTCAATGATGTTTTAGGTTTAAATGTTTGATTATTAATTTCATATCATTGTACTATATCATTTCAAAACCCTAATGACCCAAACGTAACAGCCATCCACTTTTTTTTTTTAGCAATTGGGTTTCTGACACTGTCACTTTGGGCTTTCTGAAATTAGTCATGCGTGACTTCTTGATCATGATTTGGTGTCATAAGGAAGAAGAGAAATCGAGCTTTCTGATCATATATACATTAACCGAAGGATAATTTAAAAATTATCGAGTTATTTAGCACTTAAACTTGGGTTTCATTTTTGTTCATACACACCTTGAACGACGAATAATCGTCAAATTCTAATTGCATCATTTTTTTTGCTTAGTGAAATCACGTAGACAAAAAGTAAACTAAAAAGCCTGCCATTGACAGGTGCATGAAAAATATGGGCGTCGGTAAGTGGGGGTGTATAGTCCCCCCCCCCCCTCCTCCCCCACCTCGCCGCTATATTTTGTTCATACACTCCTTAAACTACGAATAATCGTCAAATTCTAGTACATCATTTTTTTGCTTAGTGAAATCACGTAGACAAAAAGTAAACTACAAAGCCTGCCATTGACAGGTGCATGAAAAATATGGGCGTCGATAAGTGGGGGCATAAGGTTCCCCCTCCCCCACCTCACCGCCATATAGAATCAGTCATGGGCGTAGATCTGTAATTGATACCTATTGTTCAGGGGGTGATCTATTCATTCATCCCCCCTGAACAATAGGTATTACGTAAGGATTGACACCCATATAAGCAGTTATGCTCAAAGATAGGGAAATAAGTTCCATTCAATGAATATTCGGAAATGTCGTCGTATAGCAAAAATGGCTGTCATTTTACCACACTAATAAGATTACCACACTATGACAATGAAAACTATTTAACCTAGACCTCTTTTGTGAATATCCACCTGTGAAACGAACGCGTCAGCAGAAGCAAACATACACCCACACCCGCTTTGTATGAAAATGAATGCCGTACATGGTACAACGTCCTTTTCTGAGTTGACCTTAATGTTACTAAATGAATAAGGAAATAAAACTCAAAGAATATAATAATAAAGTCATGCTCGATTTACAACAAAACTTCCTGTGTTGACATTGATTCCACTAAATAAATAGGATAATCAAACTGAAAGTATAGAATAATAATTTCTTACCTGATTTACAACATACCCATTATGCTAGTCACATATCCTTTGATGAACAGATAATCAATATTACTAGATAGCTACTAAGTTACATTGTAAAGATTATCAAACTTTAAGTTTAATAAACTTCATTGTTTCTGTTATTGATCTTGTTATGATCATGTCATATATCTCTCATTTGCTTCAAGTAATTACCTTAGTCAACTTCATTTTCTTATTACCATACACTTATTGATATTTGATCATTTATATTGAAAAAATGAAAAAAGATTGTTGGTTCATAATATTGAGGAATCGATCAGATCAGTTTTTCCCAATTTTTATCATTAGTAATGGTTCGTTTTTACTTTCCCTCATCTGAACAATGTTACCAAGTCCCTAAGTCATTCTGAGTTTTTTTTTAAATAGACAAATATATTAAAAACAAAATAAATTCATAAAATAATCATCACCGTTCACCAAACATAGTTTTCAATTATAGTTCCTCATTCCTCGACATCATTCCGCTTTTTAGGAGTATTGTTTGGTCATATTGAATACACAACTTTATAATTCTTGACTGACGTATGTTTGATAACTATTCGTCATAGAGTATCAGGAAATTTATAAACAGAGAGGAAGGGAGGGGGCATAGTGTTTTCGGACAGCCCCATGAGCTGTGCACCCATATTGCAAGTTGCTTTAATTTCTATTTCGTATAGGATCACGAACTCAAAGGGGTTCGTATGTAAAATTCACCCAATGCTGGATACGCCATGGATTGACTTTATACATAATTGCATAATTTTGCCAGGGGAGTTTAATACTACCGGAAAATCGACCTTTTCAAGTTGTTTAACTTTGGGGGCGACGTAACTGAGATATGTTTACACTTTATTACAATATGAATATAATTTTGTTATAAAAGTGTACTAGGTAGGTGTACAAAAAACCTATTATCAAATATACGACTTATTGCCTGAATATTGGTAATTTTGAATTCTTTGCGGGGGGCTGATGTCCCAAGCACCCCCACCTCGTCCGCCTATTGACTAGAATGCAAAGTCAATATGCATTGCTGAGGTTGAACAAAATTGGATATTTGATATCGACAGCCTTTTTTATGCGTTTCATAACAAGTTGAGTGAGCGTCTCGTCGCACCCGGTTAATAAAGGCTTTCCAACTATTTACGATTTTTCGTGCGAAATTTGAAAAAAAGTATTTTTGTAAAGAGAATCATCGTCTTTCCAAACTATTCAATACTACCCGTGCGATATTTGAAAGAGATATCGTCTCACTCTTTGGAAAGATTGATAAAGAAAGAAGGAAAAAAAGAAAGATGAAGTCGGCTCGTGTACAAACCTCTCTCTTGCTAGTCGCTGTAGTTTTGGCGATTCTCTTCGCCTCAAGCGAGGCTTACGAAAATGGCGCACCGGTATCTGCATGTGTGACTGCCACACCAGGGCACGTAACAGGTGAAACACCCATTCCTCCACAAACTGGTGACGGCCCGTACAATATCACTTTTGACGTCCAGGAGTACGTTCGGGGCGACGAGGTCCAAGGTAAGGGATAAAGTGATTTCATGTTTCTTTCCGAAGGTTCATAATTACGAAGTGAGCCAAGTGCTATCGAGATTCCCCAGAAAAGTTACATGTATCATAACATCTGATTGACCTTCCATTCCTCATATTCAAATTATGATTTATTTTGCAATGAATATCATCTCAATCGAAGAGAATAGAAATAAAACCATCCTTTTCTGCCATTCTGAAAAAAAAAATTATTTCATTTCAAACTTTGCCCCCCCCCCCCCACAAAGATTAAAAGTACTGTTTAAACGTCTTTGGTTTAGATCATTAACTGTACAACATTTGGCACAGTGCATTTCTGAACTTGCATATTGCCTGGGACACACTACTTCACACGATTCCCGGTAGTGTTATTTTGATTATACAATATAATGACTAATACTCTAACACCACTATAGTCCAAGTACAACTTTGGAGAAAGATCTATGGAAATTAGCCTGACAATTTTGAAGGTCCGTTATTCCGAAGGTTGATGATTTCGAAGGTTCGTTATTCCGAAGTTTCATAAATATATAAATCAGTATTTTCAAGCATAAGAAATTGATAAAAGAGTTGCATGCAGGCGCGTACGCTGGATTTTTTCAAGGGGGGGGTAAGAGGACATTTTTTTTTGTTGTCTCAAAAAAAATCGCAACGACTCAGCCAGCCGCTAAATAAGCGGGGGGGGGGGGGGGGGGGGGGGGGGGGGGGGGGGGGGGGGGGGGGGGGGGGGGGGGGGGGGTAAGAGGACCCTTTTTTTTTTTTTTTTGGTCTCGAAATTTGAAAATTTGACATTTTGCTCCGTTGGGGGGAGGGGGTAAGGTCAAATTTTTAGGTCAGCCATTGGTATATATATATATATATATATATATATATATTTTTTTTTTTTTTTAAATTACAAAAGGGGGGGGGTTTCCTCCAAAATACACACATAAAAAATACCAAAGGGGGGGGGGGGGTTCAACCCCCAAACCCCCCCCCCCTGCGTACGCGCCTGGTTGTATGGGTAAGAAAAATAGTTCAAAATGTACAATACAAGCACATGAAATGTGAATTGGGTTAAATTAAAGATGATTGATGTCATCATTAGGCTTCGCGCAATTTAATGTTGTCAACCGTCGTTATTCAGGCAAAATAAAGATGATAATAATTCTTGAAATATACCTATTATCATTTTTGTTGTACCCCCTGTAACTGTTATTTTACATAACGTTGTGCATTCTCCTCTTCCTCCTCCCCTCCTCCTCCTTCTCTTCCTTCTCCTCCTCCTTCTTCTTTTATTACTCCTCCTCCTCCTCCCTCTCCTCGCCCTCCTCCTCCCCCTCCTCCTCCTCTTCCTCCTCATTCTCCTCCTCCTCCTCCTCCTCCCTCCTCCTCCTTCTTCTTTTCTTCCTCCTCCTCCTCCTCCTCCTCTTCCTCCTTCTCCTCTTCCTCCTTCTCCTCATTCTCCTCCTCCTCCTCCTCCTCCTCCCCCTCCTCCTCCTCCTCCTCCTTCTTCTTTTCTTCCTCCTCCTCCTCCTCCTTCTTCTTTCTTCTTCCTCCTCCTCCTCCTTCTCCTCCTCCCCCTCCTCCTCCTGTTCCTCCTTCTCCTCATTCTCCTCCTCCCCCTCCTCCTCCTCCTCCTCCTCCTCCTCCTCCTCCTTCTTCTTTTCTTCTTCCTCCTTCTCCTCCTCCTCCTCCCCCTCCTCCTCCTCCCCCCCTCCTCCTCCTCCCCCTCCTCCTCCTCTTCCTCCTTCTCCTCATTCTCCTCCCCCATCTCCTTCCCCTTCTCCTCCTCCTCCGTACAAACCAGTTACGATCGAGGGGACGTTCCAGGGCTTCTTGCTACAGGCTCGTCGAGTCTCGGATGATGTGCCTGTGGGTACTTTTACGGCTCCTAACGCAACCATTGGGAAGCTTCTCCTCTGCACCACCAGTAATACTACCGTCACTCACACTAATATGGACGAGAAGACTGACCAAGTATTTACATGGCAAGTCCCAGACGCTGGAACAGGGGACGTTAGATTCTTGTGAGTTTCACCCTTTTTAATATTTGCAAAATTGTACAAGTGTATCTCCCCTCTAAATATTTATTGTATGCCATTTTAAACTAGCATTAACTCGTAATTAACCATCGTTGATAAAAGGTTGTGTTGTCAAGGTAAGGTGCCTATAGTATACAAGAGGAAAATAGAATCGCCATATTTACATTGAAATATGTCAATGCTCTTATTGATGGTCTTGATTGCCCCTTTCTAACAAATATAATAATGATAATAATAACGTTAAATCGGGTATAACATAATAATTAGCATTTCTTTCTCTCTAAGTTGATTTTAAGACTTACAAGTAGTGTCGTAGTATAAGTATAAGTATGACTGAAGATGTAAAGGTTATGAATTAAACTCCCGGCACGACACTTTATCATCAGGTAGGGCATTTTATCTACATCGCCTCTTGTAAGATGCGAAAGTAATTATAGATCATCTTTGTGAGCATCTGTAAAATGGTCCTGGCTAAAATGCTGTCCAGGGGATTGAGAATGTGCGAGCAAGTCTGAATCCGATGACGGGGGTAACACAATTTCTGTAACGCGCTTAGTGACATCGTAGTTGTATTAAGCGCTATGTAAATCCAGAATATACTAGTACTACTACTACTACTACTACTACTACTACTACTACTAGGCTACTTCTACTACTACTACTACTACTACTACTACTACTACTACTACTTATAATAGTAATTATATTATCATTATTATTAATGTTATCATTTTTATGATTATTTTTATAATTATGAATTTCATCATTATTATCATTATATATTCTCCTAATCATTATTATCATTATCATTATCATCGTCATCATGATCATTACTGTTTGTTATCGTATTTTTGGCTTATCATCTTCCTTTACAGCGCCACGGTTGCCACCGACCATGATAACTTCTACGTGGGAATCTTGTCAGAGATACTTGGTGATTGTATGTATTCAGCAAAATATAAACTGAATTTCATGTTCTTCTTTTTCCTTCTTCTTCTTCTTCTTCTTCTTCTTCTTCTTCATCATCATCATCTTCATCTTCTTCGTCTCCTTCACCATCATCTTCTTAATATTACTAGTTTAGATACTGATCAACACCCCTAATAGGGTTTTGACAGAGAGAGAGAGAGTACCTGTACGTGTTAATGAATCCCAACAGCGCGCAAAAAGAAAGTGTACCCAACTTTGGTAGCTTATGTTTAAAAAGTTATAATCTATGTGACCTTCAATTATATTTTATTGCAAAGAAGAACTAATACACTATCAAATGATAATGTTTCCATACAATATTGTGCTGCAAAGGACGACTGAACAGCAGGCCTTTCAAAAGGTATTGTCAAACTGATCCGCGTGTACCAAGTTTGGGCTGAAGCAATGAATTTGGGTCAAAAGCCATTATGTGTGTGTGTTATCTCATTCCAATAGCAATTGCACATTTATTTAGATTGACTATTATGCAGTTGGAAAAAAAGGTATTAATATCAACTTATACTCAAGAAAATTATTATTACAGGCACAATTTACGATATTCTCTTCGTTATAATGATTACAATCTTGACTTCATTCGCATCCCTTGTTTAAGGTAACATTCTCATTGAGTGATACAAAATACAATTTATTTGATATTTATCATCACTATGTGCTCTTTCTTGCATTTGAGTTTAGTAACATTTTAGTTTTCATTCGCTATTCGAGATAAACACCTTATCATTATGTTCCTTACGCGTGTAAAATGGCTCAGTGGACACGTGAGCAGAGATAACTTAGGTTGCGTTTATCGACCAAAATTTTGGCTAGAATCAGGTTTCTCTTAGATATCATGAGAAAAGAATTTAGTCGGCTGTTTAAAATAGTCACAGGTTATCCTATGGATTTAAACAAGTTTATGTGAAAGCCTAGATACATTGCATGAAGCACTGAAACACGAGGTACAATTTAACTATCAAAATGATTTAAAACCGAAACAGCACATGTATATGGCCTGACCCACATTGGTTCCTTAAGCCCAAACTTAGAACAAGGCGATTTTAACAATACTTTTTAAAGACCCTGGTGCTCATTTACCCGTGGTAAATAGGGTATCATTGGACAGAAAATAAGTTACTCTTCATCATGAAATCAATTTGGTTATACATTTTTATTTAGGAGCTACTAAAGTTGGGCACACTTTTGTTATACGCACTGTAGTGATACGATGCGGAGATAAGATACGGAAATGTAACGCGTACACACTAAGAAAAAATGGTGCAAGTATGCACCTTTAGGGGTGCAAACCGATGCCACACTGGTAGCACCTTAAGGGGTTAAATCCTGCACCCTTTAAGAGGGTGCCAGACTGCAACTTTTAGGAGACATGTTAGTACCCTTAATGGTTCAATCCTGCTCCATGAGGGGTGCAAACCGATGCAATAGCAGCACCTTTAGGGGTTCAATCCTGCACCCTTTAAACGGTGCAATCCTGCTCCCATACTCGAGGAATACTCGAGGAATTTGATCGTCCACAAATACATATTAAACATGAATGTTGTTTCTTGGTTAGTAATCATATAATCAATATATCTATTGCTAAAACGTGAATGTAATTGTAACATGATCAGACAAAATAATCTATTGGTTAATGATTGCCGAAGGAAAATACAAATCACAAAATTGATATGCGTTGTCATAATTTGCTTAACAAATCATGATTAATGTATTTTTATGTGAACACGTGTAAAGTAATCATGAATATGCATGCAATATGCAAATATTTATTTTGCACCCTTTTGTGGTCGATAGGGTTCATTTTTATGTAAAGGGTGCAAACTCTTACTTTGCACCCTTTTTTCTTAGAGTGTATATTAAATACGTCATCATAAAACAAACTATGCGGTTGCTGCGTCATAGCTAAATGAGCCTTATTGCAGACGCGGAGCCACGGGGGGGGGGGGGGGGGGGGGGGCGACCGCCCCCACCCACCCCTAGCAAAAAAAAAAAACTGGTATCACAAAAGATGGAAACGTAAATTTTACCTTTACTTTTTTTTAAACAAAAAACTAAAGCGGGCCACCCCCCCCCCTTAGCAAAATAAATAAATAAATACATAGATAAAATTAATGTGTTTATTCCGCCCCCCCCCGAAAAAAAAAATAGTGTTTCATTCCCTACCCCCCCCCCCCCCCTATTCACCGACCGGATGATTCGCTGCTAAATATTTCCTCATAATTGGACTTGAAAAAATGTGCTCTTGCTAACTCCCGTAAGTTTGTTAATTTCAATATATGGCATAAATATGACAGGGCTTAAACAAACTACTCTGATTGGAATAGTTAAAGAAAGAAATGAAAAATATTTTGGGCTCATTTAAGAACATCAGAGTCTCTTGTAAGATTAATTTTGTTGGGAGAAAAAGTAAAAGGTACTAGACCGAAAAAATGTTGCAATCAACTTCTGATAGATAAATTGATCATTATTAATATCATTATATCGTTATCTTTAATAGTTATGTTTTATGTTGCATAGCAATCAATCATCAATTCAGCTTATGTCGTGCCGAATCAGATATTCCTGCACTCGAAGCCCCGGGGGGCGTTTCGTGAAACAATTATCATACTAATATCATATTCACCGACAATTTAGTCAGCACTGACTAAATTTGACCAATCACAGGCCTGGAAAATAGTCGATGACAAAAGAATTGTCGGTGAACATGATATTAGTCGGTGAAAACCACCGACTAATATTATTGTTTCATGAAACGCCCCTCAGGTAAGACGTCTAGGCACAAGCATGGCTATCTTCCAAATCCTACAGGACTCAACTAAACGAAAAATCCGTTAAGAGTTTTTTTAATGTTCGATCACATTATTTCATGATTATCTTCAGGAACTGAATTATATGGATAAATGTGCTGCCTTTACATTCTGTGGAGTTTTCACTTCAAGTGTTCAGACTAAACTTATGTTTAGTCTTGTGTTTATGCACCATCTGTGGCAACATTGGATTAAAGTAAATGTTCTTTTTCCCCCTTTTAGTTCTTCCATTTCTAGGTTGCTAACTGTTCTGCCATCTCTCTCTTTTCTTTTCTATGCCAGCCGTGACGGACGCACCAACCACTATGGGCGGTAAGATATGATTATATTTATGTAGAGATCACATAGGTGCCGGAAGCGGGATCAGAGGGGCGGATGCGGATTAATTTTCTACACCCAAAGGGCCCCCTCACAAGAAAAAAAAGTTGCATGCAATTATTTTGCATTACAACGATGTTTCAAATGCTCTAAAATGCAAACTTCAAGCATTTTAAATCAACATTTTCTCCCTCGATCGCTTCCGTTTCTTCGAAGACGCTTTGTTTTTCAACTGCATGAAAACCCAATCTAATAATCATAATGATGGTGATGATGATAAAAAATAAATATGATTATGATAATAATAAAAAATAATAAAATTAATGATTATAATAATAATTATATCAGTACCGAGAACTTAACAGGCGGAAATCGTTCCATAAACTTCTAGAGAGAGAGAGAGAGAGAGAGAGAGGGGGGGGGGCACAGTCACATCGCTGTACATTGATTCCTTATTATTGATCAAGGAAGATTGATTTAAAAAAAAAAAATTAAAGTTCTCGAAAGATATGAACTTTATCTATCAAGAATAATGCAGTCAGTTTCGTTCACTTTTGAGTGATGTTTATGATGCCTTATAGTAAAGCAAGTATGTCGTATATATTTCATATCAGCTAACCGCGAGCTGTGTGATTCACAGTCCGGTTACGTATCCACTATACCACGAAACCTCTTTTTAAATCTATCTTCTTTCCCCGTTCTTTATTGCAGAACCTACTACTGCGGAAATGACCACTGCAAATGGTAAGATATGTTATTTACTTATTAATAAAACAAATCGAATAAATATTGGTTAAATTTCCTTGAATCTTTTTCTATCACCTAATTCTAGTATGCATTAAAAAGTTGGAAAACACTATACGAGTTAATGAATTATTGGTATTTCCATAAGTCTCTAAAAACTCTCTTTATTGCAGAACCTACTACTGCGGCAATGACCACTGCAAATGGTAAAATATGTTGTTTACTTAGTAATAAAACTAATGGAATACATATTGGTTAAATGTCCTTGAATCTATTTCTATCACCTAATTCGTATTGCATTAAAAAGTTGGAAAACACTTTACGGGCTAATGAATTATGGGTATTTCCATATAGTTACCTCTATAATAATTCGTTGTTATTTTTTTGAAAGTTTAATGTTGACGACAACGGTGATTGTGATGATGTCAATAATGGTAGTAATGGTAATTACGAAGAATAATACAAAAATATGTAATTATATACTTTATTAATTGGAATGACATAAAGGAAATGCTAATCTAAATAAAAGCATATGATTTGATAAATTTCGATTAAGGAAATTTAATTGGCGGCATTTACCAAGTTGAAGGTTTTTGGTAATTATCCATATGTACAACATGCAAAAACTAGTATCGTGCCTTTCTTATTCTCAATAGATGTCTGAAAGTCCAAGCTCAATGCCTTTGAAAATAAAAAAAATAACAGACATTTTATTGACCTTCAAACTCAACCACTCCCTAAATATTGGGGCAATGCCAATATTTATTTTGAACTTGAGCTCATGTGCATACCTCATCACGCTTATGATTCATAATCGCACGATAACAAATAGTTCACACCAAATCAGGACGATACATTTCTTTGCCCACGAACTCCCTTACTGCACTCTTGACAAATATTTGGGTCATTTTTTCCATGCATTTGGGGGGAGGGGTGAATTTTATGTGTTCCTCCTTCCCCAAAACGGGTATAACTTAACTAAACCTATTTAAGAGTGTGCTATTTCTACCACGTGTTTTCACGTAGATTTTTAAAAAATCCCCATAATAACAACAATAACTACAGCAATGATAATACTACACTGTAATAATAATAATAGTAACAAAAAGAATCGTTCTTCCATTATGCTATGATAGCGCATATCACATTATAACGTCCCTATGTGATTCCAAAGAACTATGGAAATTATTTCCCAGTTAGGCGTAATTTGAATCGTTAATGCTGTCCATAAGCTGTGACATAGATAACACGTTATGACATCTGGGTCCCGTCTTACAAAGAGTTGATATCAATCGCAACTATAAGAAATAGGAGACTGCAAACTTGCGATTGATTGGAGGACTCTTTGTAAGACGGCGCCCTGCACTCCTCTCAAACCACCGAAAAGACGACGCCATGGTGTCGTATCAGCAATAATTTATGAAAATAACCTATTTGCTTTTGAACGTGTCAGTTGATGCAAATCTCTCTTTTTGTCTTTCTTTTAATGTATATGTAGCTGTCAGGCTGTCTACTGGTTTCGGGATTCTTCTTCTGGCAGTAGTCATCAGCGTGCTTCAGTTGTTTGCCTAGATATTGCTCTTCTAAACGTTACCAAGCAACTAACTAACATCAACACAAGTTCTGAAGTCTAGTTTTAATTTCACTTAACATCAAGTTATACAGCCATGTGTGTTTGATTACGATCAAGTTTAATGTTGTTGCAAGATTGAAAGATTAGGTCTGTAGTTGTTTGCATAGTTATCGCTCTTCTACCCGGTTGCATCGTTACGACGACCTTTTACTTTGTGAAAGCATAAAAACAAGTTTTGAACTTGAGTTTGAATTTCATTAAACATTAGATTAAAAACAACCATGTGTGTTTGTTTATGATCAAGCTTTTTTAAAGATATAATTGTAAGTTGGAGAAAATTAGATCTTTAGTCAAATTACGTTACGTATAGAAGCTCTACATTTCGCTTAAGTTAAATAATATCATTTATGAGTGAACTAATCATTTTCCAAACGTGATATTTCTTTTATAATTAGAGTCATTTTGACTAGGGTTTCTACATTAATTTGATATTCCATATTCCACTTAAGGTGCAGGTATAATGTTTTGTATAGACAAATGCTGCTTAGTTCCCATGATATTGATAAGTGTTTACTTATTACTTGGATCAACATGACCAGCAGCTGTTAGAATTCGTTTTACAATATTGTTTTCATTTCCATGTAATCACAATCCATTGACAATGTAACGTGATATCTGTTCATATTATTATGAAGGCTGATATACGTATAGACGTGAAGCTGGATTGAGAGTTACGTTAAATTAGAAATGTTAGGACTGAGTGTGCATTACGTTTGCCTTGTATTCAAGAATTTTGTTTTCTAGCAATAATTGTTGCTACATTTCGGTAACTATGATCTAAAATAATACTAGTACCATACAAAAAATATCACTTACAATATGAAATTTGTACGAAATAATTTTTATCTGAATGTGATGTATTGCAACTTAAAATAGAAGTAAAAAGAAAATAAATTGTGTACAATGAGTGGATCGCAGATAATCTCATATACGTGTAATTTTTCAGGTTAAAATAGTCAGGATAATGCATGTATGTCTCTTTTCTATCTGTCTCTGCATCTTTCAATCTCTTCTTCTCTCTCTCTCTCTCTCTCTCTGTCCACCTTCTCTAATAATAATAATATTAGAGCTGAGGATTTTCCCCTCTATCTCTCTTTCGTACACTTTCTTTTACACCTGTGATTATACACGCATTTCGTCATGTTTTACGTGAATTGTAGTCCTCTTCTACCTAGCTCTCTACCATTATGACCATGTTAAAAAACAACTTGTATGATTCGTTTGTCTGTTAAAAAAATGTTTGTACCTTAAACAATAAATTTATCGATCACGTTATATCAATACCTGGTATATTTAACCACTCTGTGATCCCTTGCAATCTTCATCTTGGGGAAAATATAATCAGAGTAACCTTGTAATGCCCGTTACACACGAACCGTCATTTGCCTGCCTGACGTAGGGTTGCGCCAGGCCGCCAGCGACTGCTGGGTTCTTTGACGCATCATGCCATGGGGATATTGTACATATAAATAAATGCAAAATGAACAGTGCATGCCCAGAAATGCTCACATTGCCATGAAATACTTACGGGATAATAGACCGGTCAAAGAACATATTCAAATTTATGGATGTTTCTTTCCTGGGGATCTAGTGACTAGTTATTAATGAATGAACTGCAATAATTGGAATCCAGTCTATATACATTACTTGTCGCTATGTCGGGGAAACCGTGAGCTAGCTTGCGGATTGTCAAACAACCTCTCTTTAAACTATGATAGTAAACCGGTCTATTGCCTCAGGGGCGGCGGAGCGTCTTCCAAAGTGGGGAGGGGGCACTAACAAAAAAGGGCATTTTTTCTGGAGGAAAAATTGGGCACCTATAAAGGGAAACCTCAAAGTAATCATACACCATTTTCAGACATTGGTATTTACTCCCTACATCGTCACCGGGGTAACAGTATATTTGTAAAGCGCTTAGAGACATCGTAGATGTATTAAGCGCTATATAAAAGCGGAATGTTATTAATATTTATATAGTACAATACTGCTTAAGCGACATCTTATAAAGAGGACATAAAACAAACCCTGATTAGTTTTAAGCACAATCTAATGAAGAAAGACTGAAAAGTTCTTTTATGAGTAACATAATTATAACAATTGCTAGCGAGCTCTAGGGGGGGGGGGGAATGGGCTCTAAAGTCGCTTTGAATGTTATGGAGAAAAGAAAAGTAGGCACTAATCAGAAGGAAAAAAGACAGATATGCGAAAAGAAAAGATGCACATGTTAAAGTAAAAAGGGCAATTATCAGAGGTGAAAATGGGGCACTTGTTGGACCTGAAAAGAGACACTCAACAGAATTTTTAAAAAGGCACTTGTGAGAATGGAAATGTGGAATTTGTTGAAGGAAAAGGGTACCTATCAGATTTTAATAGGGCATCTATCAGATGTATTAAGGGGCAATTTGAAAAAGGGAAGGGGCTCCTATACAAAAGGAAAAGTGGCGCTTATCCGAAGGAAATATGATACTTATTAGATAGGTAAAGGGGCACGTGTCAAAATAAAAGGGGCACTTATCAGAGGTGAAAAGTGGCATTTAAGAGAAAGGGTAGAGGGTTCTTATTAAAAAGGAAAAAAGGGCAATTATCAGAAGAACAAATGCACTTATTAAAAGGAAAAGGGGCACTATTCAAACTAAAGAAGGGCTAAATATCAAATGCGAAAAGGAGAAACTCACCATAGATGAAAAGGGGCAATAATGAGAATGGAAAAGGGGCACCTGTCAGATTGTGATAGTGGCACTTGTTTGGGTGAAAAGGGGAAATTTTTGAAGAAGGAAAAAGGGCACGTATCAAAATAAAGGGAGCACTTATCAGAGGTGAACAGGGGCACTCGTCAAACAAGAAAAGAAGCACTTATCAGAAGGGGAAGAGGCAATTGTTACAAAGAAAAGGGGGCACTTTTCAAAATAAAACCTGTCAGATTTTAATTTAATTTTCAGAGGCAATTATCAGAGGTGAAGGGGGGGGGTGGGACTTCTTAAAGATGGTTAAGGGTACTTATCGAACTTAAAAAGGGGCACTTACCAGAGACGGAAAAGAGCACTTATGAGAATGGAAAAGGGACATTTATTGCAAGTCAAAAGGGCAGTTGTCGAAGCAAAAGGGCACGTTTATGAGAAAGTGAAGGGGGTCGATGAGTCGATCGTATGAAAAAAATGGGGGGGGGGGGGAGGTGCACTTAACACAAGGAAAGTGGCACTTATAAGAAGGGGGAGGGGCTGTTCTGACAAAGGAAATGGGGTACTTGTCCTATGTAAGAAGGGGCACTGTTGGGTACCTAAAAAATGGGGGCATTGTGCCCCCCCCCCCGGAGCGCCGCCTCTGTATCGCCTTCAAACGAAAGATAATTATCACAATGTACAATCAAAATGCTGCCTTGTAGACAATCCGATCCCAAGCGTCATTATCTAGTTGCCTAATCAAAGGCGCTGATGAGACTGAGAAACTACCTATGCAACACACAAAATTATGTTATGGTAGGGTTGCACTGTGTTGTGTCGACTTTCACTCCCTCAAAAAAAAATTGAATGTGATAGACCATTTGTATTTCATTGTGCAATCTAAAGGCCATTTTATTTGTCAAGTCAAGCCCTGCCCATCATTATGTGCATGTTGAAAAGTTGTTTACCGATCGGAGAAGCATCACATGAAACTGTAGAGAGTGAATATGACAAGAGACTATAATTTAAAAGGTAAAGAATCGTTACAAAACTGGCAAGAGGTGACCCTTGAATCATGAATGTATTTTAAAATGAGACGTAGCTCCGTGACTATAACGCTTCCGGTCCCAGACTGACAACAGTGGTAGGCCGCAACCAACTGGCGACTCGGTGATGTCGATCAGCTACCCCTCCATTATTGTTTACCACAACACCATCACTGCCACCCAGAAGCTCCCCCGATAGACGTCAGCTAGGACTCACCCCATACTTTGCATCCATAATGACCCAAATGTCATTCTTTTACAATTTCCCGCCTGATTTGAGATGGCTCCTCCTTCCCACAAACTCCCCAGTAGACAGGTAGCAATATAATGGAATGCCAAGATCCAATTAAATTTATACCCCCCCCCCCCCACGATAGACATCAGATATATAGGACCCATCCCACATACTTTGCATCCGTAAAGATCAAATTTTCATTCTTTTTCATTCTTTTTTAACTTTTCGAACTCGATCGCCGAAAAAAAGACGCGACCCGCCCACACCCCTTCAACTATGGGGCGCCATGTGACACATGTGTTTTTCCGTCACAAAACCACTCCAAATATTTGTTCAATCTCACAATGTGTTTTTGTCACAAAAGCAATCTCGCACAGTGTTTTTGTCACTAAATCACTCTCACAGAGTGACCAGCTCTTCGTCCACGGAATCAATTAGGCCATATAGCGCTACCTCGAATTCTACATACAACTGATTTAGTATAGTCCCAACCAATGCAGTTTGATATTGTAAACTCTATAACCCATTAATTTACTCATTTTTTTTTAACCGAACGACAAATACCCCAACATTTTCCAACTTGCTATGGGTGCATACAAAAGGGCACATCCAAAGTGGCGGCCGGATATGTCTTTGAAATGGAGAGAGAATAAAAAGGTGGGGAAAGATATTTACAGAGAGAGAGAGAGAGAGAGAGGGGGGGGGGGGAGAGAGCTCTGATCGAGGAGCTGGGGGTGGAGGGGAATAATTGGGGAGCCGAAGGAACTTAGAAAATATCTACAGTGTGGAAATGTTAGAGAGATAGAGAGAGGGAGAGATAGAGTGATCGAGGGGCCGGGGGGGGGGGGGGGGGGGGGGGGGTTGGAGGAGGAGGGGAAATACAGTTAATGTAATAAGATATACACGAATATATTATACGACGGATATATGACAAATAAACCTAGCTTTTGCATGTGACGCCCGTTTAAGAATGTTTCTTAACATTCTTTAATTTTTCTACTATAGTAGCTCAGTAGTTCTTTTTAAAAAAATTCTTCTTCCAGTTCTAATTCTCCTCGGTCCTCCTATATATCGTATCTTCTTTTTCTCCTTCTAGCTCTTCTCTTCCTTCTAGCTCTTCTTCTTCTTCTTCTTCTTCTTCTTCTTCTTCTTCTTCTTCTTCTTCTTCTTCTTCTTCTTCTTCTTCTTCTTCTTCTTCTTCTTCTTCTTCTTCTTCTTCTTCTTCTTCTTCTTCTTCTTCTTCTTCTTCTTCTTCTTCTTCTTCTTCTTCTTCTTCTTCTTCTTCTTCTTCTTCTTCTTCTTCTTCTTCTTCTTCTTCTTCTTCTTCTTCTTCTTCTTCTTCTTCTTCTTCTTCCTCTTCTATTTCTACAATTCTTCTTCATTTTTCCTGCACATTGTAATCTTTCAAGTCCAGACAAGAACGAACGACAGGCGCGCCAGTCTATGTAAAAAATACATGTAATAACTAAACTATGGAACGCCAAAGTTCCGGTACCGTTAACATATGTATGCACTTGTCATTTGTTATTGTTTTGCGTAACTTACAGCCTGATCTAAGTTCCAAATAAATCAAGTAAAATGGCGGACAATAGTCCATGGGCACAGTTTGTGTGTATAAGTGAAGAAGATGGTCTTATTATTCCAATAACTAGTGATGTATTTTCCGTCGGCAGAGCCAAAGGTAAGATCTAAGCACTAATGTTTTTACCTTTTCACTGTGTCTGTGACTGCCGCTGCTCGCGCTTGGGCCTGTGTGCACCGCCAACTTCCCCAGAGCCTTCGGCTGGGTTGGGGCAGGCATATAGCCCGAATTTTCTGTCTCTTTCGTTCGTTAGACTCTGATTTAGGTAGGGTCAGCTCCTCTCTTTAGAGCCAGAAGCCGACCATAGGCGTAAGTGTTCACGTTCGGTGTAACCTTTCTTTACACCAAACTTGGCCAAATTAATGCCTAATTTTGATATTTTAGTTTTTACCGGATGCATAGTCATAGAAGACTATCCAATTTATTTTATTCTATACTAGAGTCTTAGAGACCTATAGTCTAGATTTATTGTAAATTAGGCCTAGGATCTAGGCTAATACATCGGTTCCACTTACCAACTTGACTGAATAATTCTGTTTAATGGTCCATTTTCAGGAAATTATAGGTCAAAATCGACATCCATGTTGAGCCGTATTTTAAACTCATGACGTCATCTAAATTTCATCCCTTCTAGTCTACGCCGAAGGCAAAATGGTTATGAAGGAAAAAACTGTGATAATGTCATTACGAGCTTGTAGCTCGTGCACAGTTTTTCCTTCATAATCATTTTATCGATTTTATCATTCCACCTGTTGTTTCTGTAGAGTTACAAAACATATTCCTTATCATATTTTTTTCTTGCAGCTTGTGATCTCTCAATGCCAGATAATAAGTGCATATCAGGGAGGCATTGCAATCTCTTCAGGAAAAACAATACCGTTTGGCTAGAGGACACAAGGTGAGTAACACAGGGCAGTCACACAGGAGGAAATTGCTCTATATATTTAAAGCCCCACTGCACTACTTATAGCTACTTGCACCCTCTATATAGCAAACAATGCGTAACCGGTGACCATTGGTCCCCCATGATCCTCTTTTTCTTATGTTAATTGAGAGCTGATTTGATGAGATACCACCTGTCAGTGACCACCCTGGGTGTTCTAATTCCTCCTAGCCAAACTTGGCTTTAAAGAATCATCATATAGCAAATAGGCAAGCTCATGGGATAAGAATATTTTAACACTAGGGTATTCCAATGAGAAGCAAGGAAGCAACTTGCCCCCCCCCCCCATGACATATTTTCAACCAAGAAATTGTTTGAATGATTTCCAGTCAAATTTCATGAAATTGTTCTAGGTATGTATTTAAATATAAACTGCTCTTAAAACCTCATACTCATAGTCCTCTTTCCTGTACAATTCATTTGTTGATAACCTTCTTGAGCACTACAAGTACTTGTAGCAGATTCATAATAATTTGTTTTTAGTAATGTGTAATTATCTGCACTTTCAAATTTGTGGGTGTTGTTTATTGTTTTTGTTTCCACAGCACCAATGGTACATGGTTGAATGGAGTCAAGATTGGCAAAGGACAGGTACCTGTTATGCTTTTATATTCTACTCTCTACTTTAAATTTTAATCAAATTTATAACATGGAAATGTATAAACTATTATATTTGTAGAGCTACACATTGTACATCTTCTTTGGAATGAAATGCAAGGGAGGTATTTTGTGATCATTTCTTGCATGTTTTGTGTTTTGATTTTAGAAGCAAAGACTGTTTCACAAGGATGAAATAGCAGTGGTTCATCAAGACGGCAATCAGGGAGCCAAAGGTATGCAAGAACAGAAAAAAAAGAAAGACAGGACAAATAAAGAAATGCATAACAAAAATTAAAATATATGTACTGTTAGGAATTATACAGTAGGCTTGCGGGTGCACCATGTGAGAGAGAGAGAGAGGATTGAGGAGTCCTGAAAAGGACTGTTGGTGTAGTCTTGAAAAAGACAGTCTTTTCAGGACTCCTCAATCCTCCCTCTCTCTCACATGGTGCACCCGCAAGCCTACTGTATATCTACATCACCATGCAAGCCGATACTTACAAGCAGCATCTGTCAGGAATTAGTTGTGCAGTAGTGAGAGATGATCATTGAATGTGAATATTTTCTTGCATTTTTAACCATGAGGGAGCAATACAAATTATGCACCAATGATCATCACTCAATGCTATTTTGTATCCTACACTGATGTAAGATGCTCTGAGCCTTCTGATTTTCAGAAGTTAGAAGTTGGAGTCAACAGGGTGGTACCCCACAAGTCGCTAATATGGGAAAGGCTTGCTAGAGTGTGTGCCCCTGAAGGTGGAGCCATAACTGACTTCTGATCGAGTGCATTCCACTCTCGGTCTCAACAGGTTCTTAGGAAGAATGAATATTTGTATACATCCTTCTTGTCAGAAGGGATTCCAATGGAGCATTGGTAGTGGTTTCTTGTCCTTGACCCTGTTAAGATTTTATGCTGCAGACCCATCGTTCCCCTTTGAATTGTGTATACAGCATGTCCTCTGTCCCTTGTAGATACAATCCTATCAGAAGCTCTTAGTGCAAGCTATACTGGGATGAATAAATTTGTAAAGTGAGATTTTCAGTGATATCTTTGATTCAGTCAAAAGCCTGTGTAGTGTGTACATGTGTGTTTTGTTTGTGTGTATATGTGTGTATTTTGTTTGTGTGCATGTTTGTTCATGTAATATTTATCATTCCCTTCTCTATCAGATATAGTGTACCGATATGAAGATCTTGCATTGCTGGAAGCTGAACGAGAAAGTCTGGATCAAACACAAGAAATGAGCAATCCAGGTATGAGCTTCTTTTTTTTGTCTTTAAAATCATAGGCTGAAAAATAAAAATGACAAAAAAGGAGTCTTCTTCGTTGATGCCTCCAAAACACACTGTCTCTGACAAGCTCTCCAATAGTTTTGAAACACATTTCAGATTGATTCATCGTTTTACCTCATGTTTAAGTGGGAAATGCAAATGCAACATGAAAATGCAAAAAGGAAACGATATGTATTCTGCTACAAATACTATTGACAATAATAGTGAAAGAATGGCTATAAAGAGAAATTGTATTGACTAAATCGTTATTAGATTACTTCTCTTATAAAGGTAAAGACCAGTTTTGGAAACTCCCCCCTCTCAAAAAATGAAATGGAAGCTCTTACCAATCATGTGAAAGAATATGTTTTTACTAATACGTGATGGATGATACAAATTTTGCCAGGAAACCGCCTACTAATTGATATACTGTATTTGGTAAATTATTATATCTATCCGGACCGGATAGATATCGCGCACTTGTTGCGTAGTCCCATATACATCTTTCTGTGTACAGTGCTTGTCACTTTACCAAGACTGGGCCAAATTTCTTATCATTTTGATGATTCCAGAACCTTCCTTTGTTTGCCTTCCATTATACAGATGAAAATACAGAAGACTATGTATTTGAAGACATAAACAAAAGGGGAGAGGAATCCAGGAAGCGGAAGAAGGGTGATGTAAGTACTGTAACAATTTATTTCTGTCATGCTCTGTCCTGAGATTGTGTGCTATTGTAACACCTGTTGAAAATAATATATATGCTTTCATACCATTGCAAATATATACATTTATGTTTATTCAGGTTCAGAAAAAAAATTGCCTATTTTTCATTGACAAATTCCTCTTTGGCTACTTTATCTGATCTGCCTGTGTCACTGATTGGCGGTCTTGGAAGTAGGAGAGCTATAAAGGGGGTACAGTGAGACCTTTTTATTAACCACTTATATAGAAGTGTTGTGGTCAAGTGGATACGGCACCAGACTGTTGATCACAAGGTTTGAGGCCCGCCGCGGCACTAATGTCCTTTGGCAAGACATTGATCTACATTTGCCACTCTCCACCCAGGTGTTAAATGGGTACCCGGTAGGATGGAAAAGCCAATGTGGTATGCTTAACAATTTGAGCCTAGTAGCTCTTGTTGGAATGTTCCCCAGGTAGTAGAGAAAGTGCATGCATGGTGTGCAGGCAAGCCAGAATCCGATGAGCGGGGTAATAATGTAAAGCGCTTAGAAACTCAGACATTCCCGAAATATTATGCACTATATTATTATTATTATCATTATAGAAAGATTGCCTGTCTACATTTTCTTTTTCCTTTGAATAAAATTTCTCATTGAAACATGTACTGAAAGAACCCTTGTGTTAAAACGACCTGTCTATAAAGGCTACTTTTCTTGTCTCCCTTGATTAGACTTTATATTCATTCTGTTTTCATGAAGGATTCTGAGGACACAGATGAACCTGCTGCTAAAAGGCTTGAAGGAGAAGAGGGGGAAGAGTTTGATAAAAAGAAGGAAAATACACGTAAGTTAATACAAAGACACATGTAGTCTTTTTAGAGCACGAGAAGACTGGCTCTCATGATTTCTCTTTTTCATTGTGTTCATTCCTGACTGTTTCAAGAAGACCAGAGGACCATTACTTTGTTTTGTATATTGTAAGCAAATCTTTGCTGCTATTTAGTCACATCTTTAATATCTTTTCAAAAAGAGATGTTGAAAGAAGGTATTTTAATATCTTATACTCCCTTCTGTTAGGCAGGGCTCAACACTTTTTTTGCAGGAAGTCTGGTTTTTAGAGCCTCTATGCATACTATTACATAGGCCATATGGATTTTTTTTTGGTGAAAATTTTGGGGTCCATACATAGATTTTGGGCGTTTATATTTTCTGGGTGGTTGTCACTATCGAGACCTGTGTTCAGTTTTTGTATTTCTTATCCCATCCAGTGAAAGTGTAAAAGTCCTCACATATTTTTAGAATGGTCTGTATCTGTATGTGAGGTTGACTGTAATAAGGGTAAGAAAGATGGATTAGCAAGGAATTATGAACAATAAAGGTGGATTGTTCTTTGGAAAGATTCCTCCTGCTCTCTTTTCTCCATCAATCCTCTCACTGCCCTGTCTGTCTGTCTATCCTTCTCTTTCTATCCTCTTTCTCACTCTTTCTCTGTCTGTGTCTCTCCTTTCTCCCCTCTATATCTTTCTATAATCACTGTCTCAAAACACTTGTTACCATCCCCCAAAAATGTAGCTGAAAGTTCTCAAAAAAAGTCTTCGGGCAATCCGAATTCAAGCCTAGTAGATGATCACATCAAAGGAACTGCTGAAGCAATAGATGATGCTGAAAAGGATAGGACCAGTGGAAAAGGAGATGGGGATGCAGAGGAAAGAGGAAGAGAGGAAAAGGATGCTACAGGTGGTAAGGAAGATGGAGAGGGAGAAAAGAAGACGAAAGAAGAAGGGGCCAAACCTCAGCAGGAGGATGAAGAACAGGATGAAATCCTGGAGACCCTGATATGTAGCATCTGCCAAGACATACTGCACAAATGTATCAGGTGAGATTCACACAGACAGAGAGGGAGGGAGGGAGAAAGAGAGAGAGAGAGGAGGGAGAAAGAGAGAGGGGGAGAGAGGGAGGGAGAAAGAGAGAGAGAAAGAAAGAAAGGAAGGGAGAGAGAGAGAGAGAGAGAGTGAAAAAGAGGAAGGAAAAAGACAGACAATAGAAACAGAAAGATGGACTGATTAGAGAGAGAGAGAGAGAGAGAGAAAGAAAGAAAGAGAGGGAGAGAGAGAGAGAGGAAGGAAAGAGACAGACAAATAGAAACAGAAAGATGGACTGATCAAAACAAAAGACAGACAGACAGAAAGATAGAAATGGAGAGGGTGGAACAGGGAGAGAAAGGGAGGAAGGAGAGAGACAGACAAATATAAACAGATGAAAGATGGACTGATTAAAACAAGAGACAGACAGACAGACAGATAGAAATAGAGAGAGTGTAGGTGACAGAGAAAATGAGGGATCGAGAGAATATGAAAGAGGTAGACAGGAATGGAAAACAAATAGTACATTAATACAGACTTTCAGTGCCTGAAAGTAATAGTGGAAAAAGGAGAAAAAGAATAGATTAAACTTTACAATGTACTTATTTCCACTCTTTATTCCAGACTACCATGTCCACATATGTATATTTCCTGTTCATAAATTTGACAAATCTGATCAAAAAATTTGATTTGGAAGCATGGACACCTTATTTCATACAATTATTTTAAATTTTATTGTGGATTTGTCCATATCAGACATAATGCTCCAGTCTGTAAACATGATAATGTTATTGGGCAAGTCCAAGCTATTCTGTCCCATTTCTACAGACCACATCTTCACGTAAACACTTACTGTATCTAATCATTATGTTTACTTTTCTGCTCTAACCGTCTAGAAGTTAAGATCAGACCAAATATAAAGTGAATAAAAAGTTGATTTCTGTTCACAACTCCTCAGTACTTGGTCGTGTGTAGTCAAATATTGGACTTCCCTTATTAATAAAATGGTTGAAACAACCAGAATATCTTATTTTTTCTTCTCTATTCATGCTACAGTCTTCAACCTTGTATGCATAGTTTCTGTGCAGCATGTATATCAGGATGGATGAAACATTCAAAGAGATGTCCCCAAGTGAGTTTATTTCATATTTACATTGAACTTACTATCCATGTTATGTAATCTACATGTACCTCCATACCGCTCGAGAGTATTGTACAACCAGAAACCTAGAGGGCATGAAATGTTCATGAATTTCATGAGTCGATCAGATTCGCTAATGTTTCATGCCATGAATAATTGAACAACAATTGAAACAGAACTGAACATTGAAAATTTACATAAGCTTGTTGCAGGAAAAATGGCTGTCATTTACATTTTGCGTGAGGTTTCTCGATATGCAATATTTGCCAAAATAGGCAACTTTTCTGCTTTGGCTACCTATCTAGTGTTTGTCAATTCTTCTCGACTACAATATTTGCACATGTAATTATGCATTTTAAAAAAAATTGTTAACATTAGACACGAACTTAATAGCTACAGAAGATTACTAAGTGTCAGGTATAAATGTTTCTGCAGTTCTAGAACCTTACTTATTTTTATTTATTTTCTAGTGTCGAAAAAGTGTCAAGCGATTCGGCCACAATTATATCGTGAACAGCTTAGTGGATGCCTACCTAAAGCAAAACCCAGGTAAGATTGAAGATTGGTATATATATATATATATATATATATATATATATATATATTTTCTAGCAGAAATTTAAGTCTGCACTGATGTTTTATTTTATTTGGCAAAGATAAAATAAAGAAATATTTAATACAAAACAACAGTTAAATTTTTAATGAGTCACATGAATGCCCGGAAAAGAAAAAGATTAACTAAATAACTATAACCTGAAGGTCTTCTATTCCAATCCATGTGACTTAACGTAAATAAATAGCACAGAATAGCAATTTATAACAAATAATGAATTGCAAGTAGATTAAATGAGACAAAAAGAAAACAATAAATGTTGTGTTTTTAATATGTACATGTCTATGCCTCCCCCAAAAGAAGAATACATGTACACAACCAAAACTTAACATTATTCAATAGCATTTCAAACACGACAGAGGTAGGTGTAAGTCAGCTGTTTGATAATTTTGTGAAAGAATGGACAATTTTATCCAGACATCAAAGTGAATATCTCGTATTATTCCAATGATGTACCCCGTATACTATTCAAAGAATCTGCTCCGTAAGATATTTTCTGCGCTAAAAATAGTGCAAGCTTGGATACTGGAATTGCACTTCGAACATTAGGTCATTGCGTCCGATGGGATGGCCGCTTTACACAACTCTTTGTGAAATAAAAGCGGAAGATGACTAGACCGTTCGTAGATTTGCTGTAGGGTTTTCACAAAGTGTGTGGTAAATTGGACCAGACCATTTGTAGACGAGAGGGGTTTATTTCACAAACATGAATCCTGATATTTTGTGAATAAAGGGGCACGTTTTCTCAAAAGTTTGGGTAATGCGACCACCCTACATGACACAATGTCCCAATGATTTGAAGTAAGCCAACCAGTCAGTGCACTCACATGCAATTTGGTATGCATAAAAGTTAAAATTCTAATTTAAATTACCACCACATTTACTTATTTTCTCATTTGCTAATCTTTATTCACTATTGTCTTCCATTGAATTTTTTTTTCCCATCTGCAAACAATATTTTATGACCCCCCCCTCTTTTTTTTGTCGATGCACAGATAAACAGAGGACAAAGGAAGACTTGGAGGAAATGGATGCACGCGGCAATGTTCCATGCAATATGGTAATTTAGACTCGTGCTTCCTTCCTTCATAGGCTTTTATTTCAAGAAAATGGTACTTATTTACATGGTAACAGAAACTGTCTGTTAGAAACAGGGTCCAAGGTCACATTGAAATCAGGAAAAACCTGGAAAACATGTTCCATTTTTTCCATTCAGGGAAAAGGCGGGGCGTTTTAAAATAAACTCTCAAATCATGTACTTGACAAAATCAAAGACTTTCATAGCCCCCAAAGAAAGTTATCAGTCCGTTTAAATGTATTATTTAACTTTGTTCAGGTGCCTTCTATTGTACAAGCCCCGTGCTTTTTTTGAAGGTATCCTTTCATCTATTGTTATTATTGTTATGCATCGTCAAATATTGTCAATATTTGTTATAATTTTTATGGATGATGAATAAATAAATTGAATTGAAATTTAATTGAATTGTTTAATGTTGTGTCCAAACAGCTTATACTCTGAATGATGGGCTAAGTAGGTTTTGTTTTGTGTATTTAAGTGTCTTCTTTTCTCTCTGTACCAATGTGGCAATGGAGTACTTTTGTATAGTCCATAGATACATCTAATAAGTACAACCTATCCTTGTGTGTTAGTGCCTGCAACCACTATTGCAGAGAAAACTGTAGATAGGTTGAAATACATTGTTTACACAAGAAGGCTTTGAATATCTTGTTTTAGACAATGGCAACATGGGAATAGGGTTCAGACTTATGAGTGAAAGTGAACAGGTGATATTGCGCAATGTTATGATTGGACTCAAGTCAGAAATATATGTGTGCATGAAAATTGTGCAAGTAGTCAAGATATGTAAGTGGTTGAGATTTAAGAAAGTTTAATTTGTTTGCGATGATCTAAAGTTTCGTGCCGCAAAAAAAGGCGGGGTTTTCTTTGAAGAAAAAAATTTGCACAAGATTTTGTTATGAGAGTTATGTGTACTGTTTCAGACCTTAGAATACGATGCTTTGGACAGTGACGATGAAGATGGCGACTACGATCCAAGTGAGGAAGAGGAAGAGGAAGAGGAGCAGGAGGAGCAGGAGGATGAGGATCCCCAACCACCGTAAGTTGCTCTTTATCTCCTTCCTTGGCTTCCATCATTTTTCTGCACATTTCCATAGTTAGCTCGAGACTGCCACTTATTTTCTTTAGGTTAATAGACATTTCTCAATTCATTTCAGACAGAGCAAATGAGAGGGATTCTTGCAAGATGCGTTACTGAGTTGCCAATTTGTGTTTGATTGATCGCAACTTTAAAAAATTCACAAATTATTAATTTTTAATGAGATTTTGCTCAAACTTTCACTGATCAATTCCTATCATTTTTCTGCTTCTATTAAATCCCCTCTGCACTAGCTTGGCATGGAAGGATTAGACCTCCCTGCAAGGTCACTGGCAAGTGGTTATCTCATCAAATCAGCTCTCAATTATTAAGAAAGAAGAGCATCATGGGGGATCAACAGGTGCCGCTTAGGCACTGTTGGCTGTATAGAGGGCACAAGTAGCTATAAGTAGTGCAGTGGGGCTTTAAAACCAACTCGATATCAGGCTGGACTTCCCCCTTTAATAATAGGTTTGACCGTACATGTATATATACTCTGTAGAAACTCTCAAATCGTTGATTGTTTTATTGCAGTGCCTGTAGACAATGCCCACACTATGTACAGGCCTTGGATAGGAATGCTGTGATGTCACTCCAAGCCACCCTGGATCCATCAACAAGCTGTGCTGCAACGTCAGGTTTAGTTCGTTATTTTGATATTTGAAGTGTATGGCAAGTGGGATGAAAAAATAGCTGTGTGCAGTGCACCAAAGGTTATACACAAGATGGCAATAGGCCTCGCCCCCTTTTTGAAATTATGCCCACCCGCCAAAGGTTGCAAAGCTCCCCTGCGAATTTTCCTTCCCATGATGGGTAAATTCCTTTACTTGCTCACTCACTTGTACAGTTAAGAAGATTTAGATAAGTTTGGACGGGGGGGGGGGGGGGGGGGGGGAGAGAGGGGATGTGCAATAATACCTACACGTACATATGCCACTGCATACTTAAACGATCCATTCACTGTTTTCTTGTGTCATGTTTTATTGCTATTTTTATGCCTCCGCCACCGAAGGTGGTGCCGGAGGCATCATGTTTTCGGGTTGTCCGTACGTCCGTACGTCCATCCCGTTTGACCGTTATCACAATATCTCAAGAACCATTTAAGATTTAAACTTAAGACTCAGGTATAGTATTTATCACCATAGGAAAACGATCTGATCAGATTTTGGAGTACGTAGGTCAAAGGTCACAGGTCACAGAGGTCAACTTATGAAATTCCTTGTATTGAGATTGTTAGCGCGATATCTCAAGAACCATTTGAGATTTAAACTTCAAACTTAAGGATAGTATGTATCACCATAGGAAGACGATCTGATTAGATTTTGGAGCACTTATGTCAAAGGTCAAGGGTCACAGAGGTCAACTTATGAAATTCCATACATTGAGATTGTTATCATGATATCTCAAGAACCACTGGAGATTTAAACTTCAAACTTAGTGATAGTGTGTATCACCATAGGAAGACAATCTGATTACATTTTGGAGCACGTAGGTCAAAGGTCAAGGGTCATAGAGGTCAACTTATGAAATTCCATACATTAAGATTGTTATCATGATATCTCAAGAACCACTGGAGATGTAAAAACTTCAAACTTAAGGATAGTATGTATCACCATAGGAAGACGATCTGATTAGATTTTGGAGCACGTAGGTCAAAGGTCAAGGGTCACAGAGGTCAACTTATGAAATTCCATACATTGAGATTGTTATCATAATATCTCAAGAACCACTGGAGATTTAAACTTCAAACTTAATGATAGTGTGTATCACCATAGGAAGACTATCTGATTAGATTTTGGAGCACGTAGGTCAAAGGTCAAGGGTCACAGAGGTCAACTTATGAAATTCCATACATTGAGATCGTTATCGCGATATCTCAAGAACCACTGGAGAATTTTCACTTCAAACTTAATGATAGTGTGTATCACCATAGGAAGACAATCTGATTAGATTTTGGAGCACGTAGGTCAAAGGTCAAGGGTCACAGAGGTCAACTTATAAAATTCCATACATTGAGATTGTTATCATGATATCTCAAGAACCACTGGAGATTTAAACTCCAAACTTGTTTAAATTGCTCTATGGCGGAGGCATCATTTTCGACTGCACGCAGTCAAAATTCCATCTATTTTTTTTTTAATTGGCTAGTTTCCCCATAATGAATGTACATACATGCGATTAAATGGATCAAGAACCCTATATCCCTTTGAATGGGGCGTAGTGGCAAATATTGAAAAATTTGAATTATCACAACTTTTCGGGCTGAAGTTGTAAGGGGGTGGTTCAGCATTTTGGAGGAAAATGTTATATTTTTTTAATAGGCTAGTTTCCCCATAATGAATGTACATACATGCAATTAGATGGATTCTAACGCCTATATCCCTTTGACAGGGGGGGGGGGGGTAGGGGCAAATATGGTAGGGGCAAATATTGTAAAAATTTGAATTATCACAACTTTTCGGGCCGAAGGTGTAAGGGCCGGGGTGGTTCAGCATTTTGGAGGAAAATATTAATTTTTTTTATTAGGCAAGTTTCCCCACAATGAATGTACATACATGCCATTAGATGGATCCTGACCCCTACATCCCTTTGAAAGGGGCGTAGTGGCAAATATTGTAAAAATTTGAATTATCACAACTTTCGGGCCGAAATGGTAAGGGCCGGGGTGGTTCAGAATTTTGGAGGAAAATATTATTTTTTTTAATTGGCTAGTTTCCCCATAATGAATGTACATACATGCGATTAGATGGATCCTGAACCCTATATCCCTTTGATAGGGGTGTACGCGCAAATATTGTAAAAAATTGAATTATCACAACTTTCGGGCCGAAATTGTAAGGGCCGGGGTGGTTCAGCATTTTGGAGGAAAATATTATATTTTTTGAATAGGCTAGTTTCCCCACAATGAATGTATATACATGCCATTAGATGGATCCTGACCCCCATATCCCTTTGAATGGGGGGTAGGGGCAAATATTGTAAAAATTTGAATTATCACAACTTTTCGGGCCGAAGTTGTAAGGGCCGGGGTGGTTCAGCATTTTGGAGGAAAATATTATTTTTTTGATTAGGCTAGTTTCCCCACAATGAATGTACATACATATAATTAGATGGATCCTGACCCCCATATCCCTTTGAATGGGGGGTAGGGGCAAATATTGTAAAAATTTGAATTATCACAACTTTTCGGGCCGATGTTGTAAGGGCCGGGGTGGTTCAGCATTTTGGAGGAAAATATTATATTTTTTTAAAAGGCTAGTTTCCCCATAATGAATGTACATACATATAATTAGATCGATCCTGACCCCACATCCCTTTGAAAGGGGCGTAGTGGCAAATATTGAAAAATTTGAGTTATCACAACTTTTCGGGCCGAAATGGTAAGGGCCGGGGTGGTTCAGCATTTGGAGGAAAATATTTTTTTTTTTTAATTGGCTAGTTTCCCCATAATACATGCGATTAAAAGGATCAAGAACCCTATATCCCTTTGAAAGGGGCGTAGTGGCAAATATTGTAAAATTTGAATTATCACAACTTTTCGGGCCGAAGTTGTAAGGGCCGGGGTGGTTCAGCATTTTGGAGGAAAATATTATTTTTTTTTAATTGGCTAGTTTCCCCATAATGAATGTACATACAGGCGATTAGATGGATCCTGAACCCTATATCCCTTTGAAAGGGGCGTAGTGGCAAATATTGAAAAATTTGAGTTAACACAACTTTCGGGCCGAAATGGTAAGGGCCGGAGTGGTTCAGAATTTTGGAGGAAAATATTATTTTTTTTAATTGGCTAGTTTCCCCATAATGAATGTACATACATGCCTTTAGATGGATCCTGACCCCTACATCCCTTTGACAGGGGGGTAGGGGCAAATATTGTAAAAATTTGAATTATAACTTTTCGGGCCGAAGTTGTAAGGGCCGGGGGGGTTCAGCATTTTGGAGGAAAATATTATTTTTTTGATTAGGCTAGTTTCCCCACAATGAATGTATATACATGCCATTAGATGGATCCTGACCCCCATATCCCTTTGACAGGGGGGTAGGAGCAAATATTGTAAAAATTTGAATTATCATAACTTTCGGGCCGAAATGGTAAGGGCCGGGGTGGTTCAGAATTTTGGAGGAAAATATTATATTTTTTTAAAAGGCTAGTTTCCCCATAATGAATGTACATACATGCAATAAGATGGATTCTAACGCCTATATCCCTTTGACAGGGGGGTAGGGGCAAATATTGTAAAAATTTGAATTATCACAACTTTTCGGGCCGAAGGTGTAAGGGCCGGGGTGGTTCAGCATTTTGGAGGAAAATATTAATTTTTTTTATTAGGCTAGTTTCCCCACAATGAATGTACATGCATGCCATTAGATGGATCCTGACCCCTACATCCCTTTGAAAGGGGCGTAGTGGCAAATATTGAAAAATTTGAGTTATCACAACTTTCGGGCCGAAATGGTAAGGGCCGGGGTGGTTCAGCATTTTGGAGGAAAATATTATATTTTTTTAAAAGGCTAGTTTCCCCATAATGAATGTACATACATATAATTAGATCGATCCTGACCCCCACATCCCTTTGAAAGGGGCGTAGTGGCAAATATTGAAAAATTTGAGTTATCACAACTTTTCGGGCCGAAATGGTAAGGGCCGGGGTGGTTCAGCATTTGGGAGGAAAATATTTTTTTTTTTTAATTGGCTAGTTTCCCCATAATACATGCGATTAAATGGATCAAGAACCCTATATCCCTTTGAAAGGGGCGTAGTGGCAAATATTGTAAAATTTGAATTATCACAACTTTTCGGGCCGAAGTTGTAAGGGCCGGGGTGGTTCAGCATTTTGGAGGAAAATATTATTTTTTTTTAATTGGCTAGTTTCCCCATAATGAATGTACATACAGGCGATTAGATGGATCCTGAACCCTATATCCCTTTGAAAGGGGCGTAGTGGCAAATATTGAAAAATTTGAGTTAACACAACTTTCGGGCCGAAATGGTAAGGGCCGGAGTGGTTCAGAATTTTGGAGGAAAATATTATTTTTTTTAATTGGCTAGTTTCCCCATAATGAATGTACATACATGCCTTTAGATGGATCCTGACCCCTACATCCCTTTGACAGGGGGGTAGGGGCAAATATTGTAAAAATTTGAATTATAACTTTTCGGGCCGAAGTTGTAAGGGCCGGGGGGGTTCAGCATTTTGGAGGAAAATATTATTTTTTTGATTAGGCTAGTTTCCCCACAATGAATGTATATACATGCCATTAGATGGATCCTGACCCCCATATCCCTTTGACAGGGGGGTAGGAGCAAATATTGTAAAAATTTGAATTATCATAACTTTCGGGCCGAAATGGTAAGGGCCGGGGTGGTTCAGAATTTTGGAGGAAAATATTATTTTTTTAAAAGGCTAGTTTCCCCATAATGAATGTACATACATGCAATAAGATGGATTCTAACGCCTATATCCCTTTGACAGGGGGGTAGGGGCAAATATTGTAAAAATTTGAATTATCACAACTTTTCGGGCCGAAGGTGTAAGGGCCGGGGTGGTTCAGCATTTTGGAGGAAAATATTAATTTTTTTTATTAGGCTAGTTTCCCCACAATGAATGTACATGCATGCCATTAGATGGATCCTGACCCCTACATCCCTTTGAAAGGGGCGTAGTGGCAAATATTGAAAAATTTGAGTTATCACAACTTTCGGGCCGAAATGGTAAGGGCCGGGGTGGTTCAGCATTTGGGAGGAAAATATTTTTTTTTTTTAATTGGCTAGTTTCCCCATAATACATGCGATTAAAT